AGCCGAAGTCGGACGCTCATCCGACTGAGCCACCCAGGTGCCCCTTTTCTGTGATGTTAATCTTTTTGAACGGCCATACAGAATTTCTTCTTCTGCATCATTTCTTTAGAACACATGCCAAAGAGTGAGTACTAAGTCTCTGGGTATGGGCCTTTAGCTGGCTCTCGATACATAATGCCACAATGATTTCCCAAGGGGTGTACCCATGCGTATGTGAGGAAACAGTTTATCACAAACAAAACTCACTAACACTGAAGATGGTCATTAACTGGGGCAAAGATGAAGGCAGATTCGACAGCTATCAAATGGCACCCCGCTGTTTTCACTTCCTTCTGCGAACTCTTCCTTGCTTCATATCCAAAGGCAGTGAACTGGTTACAGGTCTTGAAAACCCCAAGGTGGTCCCATTTGGTCTTTAAGGTTCTGTTTCTAAAATAATAAACGACCTTTGAGGTTGTAGAACCCACGGCACGTAGAATTCACACAGGGAAGAAACCGTAGGTGGGAACCCCCAAGCAGGTTTTTTACCCTTTCATTATTAGGCCCTTTGATAGTAATGAAAACTGCCAGATAAGAGCCCCTGCGATGAGCCAGATGCCGTCCTCAGGTGTTCTGCTCCTTTGATCCCTAACCCTCCCCACAACCACCAAGCTCGTATTATCCTGCTCTTACAGACCTGGGGACCCAGACTTAGGAAAGTTCACCATTTGCCTGAGGGCACACAGCTAGAAGAGGCCAAGCTATAGCTATCTCAAAACCCACATTTTTCTAGGTGCTGTGGTCCCTTCCATTGTTCATTTCTCTCGATGATCATACTATTTACAAGCTCAGAGAAAAGTGAAGTTTGATGGATCAAAAGCACCACTGGGGGGTCGCCGGGATGGCTCAGTCAGGTAAGAGTCTGGTTCTTGATTTTGGCTCAGGTCATGATCTCGCAATTTCATGAGTTCGAGCCCCGCGTCAGGCTCTGAGCTGACAGTGTGGAGCCTACTTGGGATTCTCTGTCTCCCTCTGTCTCCGCCCCTCCCCTGCTCACTCACTCTCTTCTCTCTCTGAAAATAAATAAGATTTAAAAAAAAAAAAAAAAAAGCATCACTGGCCCTATGAAGCTCTCTGATTTTGTTTGTTTTTCATATTTATTATAAAAAATTTCAAATATATACAAAATAGAGATGGGTACAATGAAATCCCATCTATCCAGCTTCCACGATTATCTTATGTCCAGTCTTGATTTATCTTTGCCAGCTCCACTACCCGTGCCGCCCCTCACGGAAAGAAATCCAGACGTCGTATCGTTCTATATTTCAATGCGCATCCCCAAAAGATAAAAGCCTGTATCTGGTTGGAAGTTTTAAAGGCATACAAAACCCCTTGGTGGCCTTAACTTCCTTAAACCCACAGTATCTGCTTTCTCAAACATACTGCACTGGGAAGCAGTTGTAATCTTTTCATCAAAACCCAGATCTGAGAGCCAAATATGAGGAGGAGGAAGGACATAGCGAGCCTTTTCCATCCATCAGCTGAGTTACAAGAATAAAGTCTCTGCTTTTGATCTTAACGTTCTCGAAACTCTTACCAGAAGCACGTGACTCTCTATCCTTGATATTCTCTAGACAAAACTCTTGGACCCCTTGATCTAAAGCCTTTGATTCCTTCTTCCATCAATCCATCCACTTATTCGCTTACACAAAAACTTTTCACTGTGTGGGTCACCATGCCAGGCACTGTCCTACTAAGATGAACACATGCCAAAGTTCTTGCCTCCAGAGAGTTCTCACAAAGGCTTTGACTCTTACGCGAAAGCCTTAGCACTGCAACAGGCTAAGTTCTGAATCTAGCTGGAGACCTGCCTTCTACTGAGCTGAAGGCCCTCTCACAGCCTCCCATGGGTGGGCTCCATCCCCAAGTGCCTATTCTAGGGTCTTCAGAGACTTGCGCCACAGTAAAAAGAGTACCGGGGTTGGAGTTGAAAGACCTGTGTGACCTGAAGCCCCCACTTGGCTGGGTAAATTATTCTGCTGTCTACTTCAGAGAGAGAAAAGAGAGGTGACGGGGGATAGAAAATGTAAAGCCACGGACAACCTCTCGAAGTATTATCATCGTTGACGTTCTCAACTACCTCCTAAACCCTTGAGTAACTTGGCTATTTTCCTCTTTTGAAATATAGAGTCAGTGACCTAGAAAGAACCTTCGAGACGGTCTTCCACACCATAATGCTTACTAATAACGAAAGTGAGCACCAAAGAATGAGTAGCCTAAGGCAGAGGTCACAGACTGGCAGGCCAGAGGCCATGTTTAGCCTAGGGAGTTCTGGCTGACCCACAGGATACTGACCCACTCGATGCTTTAAACTTTCATTTTCCCATTGGAAGACTGTTTAAAAATCTGGATTCCCAACTTCTCTTGACTGGAAGATCAAACAACGCTGAGTGTACGTTCTTGCGTGGCCACAATGCATGCAGCTGAGAAGTGGCTGCTCCCCCCGCACAGGGCTTGGGTTATCCTGTTTGCCCAAGACCTCATGGCACCCTACCATTCCTCGACTGTGGCCCGAGATCGGCTACCACTTACCTCATTCCTGGCTCCTCCACTCCTTTTCCCTACATGCCTCACCCTGTAACTTAAGTCAGCGACCCTTAGCCTACAGTCACACACTTGGGTGGACCGCCCTTCAATGTCTACATGAAATGAGATCCAAGTCTCCCAACAATCGATCCCAAACACAAGCCCAGCGGGCCTTTTTATAGAAACTGACAAAAGAATCCTAAAACTTATGGATGTGCAAATGAC